AAATTAGTATTTTAATCTTACTTATTAATTATATAGTAAATATATAATACATAAATAATCTTAAATATTAAAGAAAGCTCCAATGTTGTGTACTCTTTACCCTGTTGTAACCAAAAAATTCACATTGAAGGAATATGTCGATAAGATTTACAGCGCACAAAAGTTACTTCTTCTTAGGGTGCCTGTCCGTTCCGAACGTTGGCGATCATTCTGGCTATGATGATTTTGTTGGTTGCTATACGAAATAGCTGTGTTGAGGTCTTTCTATATCATGCGCTTAGCTTAGCAAGCCAGTATATTCAACCCTTCACGATGTTGACCAAATCCGCAGGTGTGTTTATCCTCCGCAGTACTTTTGTACTTTTGTGACTTTGTCTGTCCATGGTATCTGTTTATGTTATCTGTGGTATGTTTTTAGAACTCTTTAGCGACTTATATACTAAAGAGTTCTAAAAACAACTGTCTTTTTTATAAAAGCAGACTGAAAATCTAAATAATAAAGGAATAGCCCAGAAAGCACAAAAAATCGCCGATATAACTTAATTAACCTATGAAATGCCATTAGTGTCAAAATTTCATAACAATGAAGTAAACTTGCCTGAGGTTGGATCAATTACAAACAAACATTGCTGCGCGGTAAATTTAAATTACTCCTCTTATTTTAAAAACAGGGTACAGCGCTCTTTCTCCAGACGCTTGCAGTTTATGTGGTAGATCCTGTCGTCTCCGGGCGATTATTAGTAAACGTCGGAAATTGAAAATGCATCTCGGTGCCATAACCATGTTTACTAATATCATCTAACTATTGCGCAACATTGTGAAATATTGCGTAGTTAGCCGGTACGCTCTGATTAGGTCATTATCTTGTGAAAGACAATGCTGCAGGTGTTGTAGGTACTTTAGAAATAAAAGACACAATTTCTAAGTAGAAAAAAACTCAGCGTCAGAGTCTTTAGAACTTTTCAGAGCCCTTCAAAGTGAAGAGCCCTGGGGCTACCCTCTAAGGGTAAAACCAGACTGACTGTAAATCGAAAATGTCCCGTATTTAAAGTAAAATTAACTTTTATATGAAACCTTTTCGATTTTTAACCAATTAAAATTTGAATAAAACTCCAGAAGGAAGGGCGATGAACATCGAGGTGCGTGATTGGTGGCACCTGATGACAATCCCATGCAGTATAAGTCTGACCACGTCTGAACACCACTAGTTTAAGGTTGTATTCGCATGCGCTTAGCATCATCTACAAGCCCTTTAGAGCGCAACTCTCATTAAAACGAAGGTCTTAAAACCAATTAAATATACATCACTTTATAGCTTCAAAACAAACCAAAAAGCTATGTCTAATATTCTTATAAGTCCTTCGTTTTAAAAAAGGGTTGCACTTAAAGATGGTGCTTAACGCACGCAAATACAACATTTAAACAAACATACCTCGTTTAACTTTTGGTCTATAAAAATAAAGAAAATGTTTAAAATGTTTACAAAGTACAAAGCAGCTGTATTATTTTGTATTATTTAAATTTTTTTTTGTATATTTTTTCGTTGTCGAGTTATAAAAAGAGATTTTTTTCAAAAGTTCCAAAAATAGTGTCTTTATTTTAAACTCGGATTTTACTTTGTTTTTTTTTTTATTTCAAAAATATGTGTCTCGACAGCTAATGGTCACTGACACAGGTACAATTTACATTCATGTTTACATGGTTGATACTTTACATACTGCTGTTTGAGATAAGTATGTCTTTTAGGTTTTTACCAAGATTTTATTCGGACCGCTAGGTAGTGTTGACAGTCAAGAAGTACATGTGTTACGGAAGTCCTGGTGTTGCAGTACTGGCACAAAATCTAACTACTGGAATTTATTAGTTGTCCATGTGTAAGGCGTGTGTGCCCTATTCTCAATCTTCGAATGATAGATTTGTCCTTTCTTTTCATTGGTGAGAGCTGGTGGTACAAAATGTTTGGTTGTAGAACGCTTAACTTGGTATTGCGTTTTTTTCATTGATCATTCCAAAGTTCCATTATTTTATGTTTGATTGTTCTTTTTAGATCTGATTATGTTTGAATGTTTGTTGTAACGTTAAGAGAACATGCTTGTTTTGCTGTTTGATCGGCTTTTTCGTTACCTGGAATACCAACGTGTGATGGAACCCATAATATCGTTACTATAATTCCATTAGTTTGAAGACGATTACATATACTCTGGATTTATTGAACTATTGGGTGCCGGATTTTTTAAACCACTAATATTTTAGAATATATTATTTGTATATAAATAAAGTAAACTGTAAATGAAAAACAAATAGTTTCAACCAAGGTGATTTTGACGGGGGTGAGTTTTATATTTTCTGCGTAATACAAACCTCTTTTACCAGTAAACAAATTAAAGGTTTTTTACAATCTTTAAATGGGTTTTTACAAGTTTTCTATGACAATCTTACTGTTTGCCGGTTATTCAAATTCATGTATTGGTTTTTTTATATGAATCTACTTTCAAATAGCTATAACTATGTAAATATAATGTTTACGGTAATATTAAAAAACGATTCTCTTTGTTTTATAAGCCTTATATTATATTCTTACAGGTTTTTGATAAAATTTAAATTTTTGGACTTACTCGCGAAAAAACTTTAAAACCTGCTTTTTAATGTGTAATTTATAACGTTTCAGTCACGAATAAAAACATTGATTTTTGGAATAAAAAAACATTTTTATTTTAAAATTTATCATTCTAGCGACTACAGTGTTTTATTTTTGATAAACTTTTTCCATCCCCTAGTTGGGGCGGTAAACAACCCCAGAGGAAAAGCCCATATTGTCATAGAGTATGGAGATTTTGATCTTTTAACTATTTTTAATTTTCCCTCAAAATTTCAAGAAAATCGATGGATATAAAAAAACTCAGAGGTTTTCTACTATATTTATCGTCATATCCTAGACTATTTGTACTTTATTCAGATTAACGTAACTCTTGTTAGTAGACACTCTTGACAACTGGTCCTCATAAGACAATTAACTCTCACTTATGGCTCACGTGTCAGCTTCGGATGGAGGAGCTAGTAAAAGGTAGAGTACCCCTTTGTCCTGGAGTTAAGAAACTGGCTTCAAAGGCGGAAGAGCTGTGGAAGCGGTTAACGGCATAGAGATGAGGAAGAAAGATTGGGACAAGACACCTCATTAGAGATACGGATTGGATAAGTCACCATCGCCTAACGTCTTGTGATTGGTACATAGTTATAAGCTGCAATTTGTTGACCTTGTCCATACCTCCTTTCGTCTTGTTATAATCACAAATTATATCTGGTTTGCAGGTCCCCATGTCTATTTCATCATCACGGTGCATTGTGGTAAAAACAAATACATTTTTTTTGAACGTATGAATCTAAAGTCGTTTTGTCTTTGAAGTTTCTAAGAGTTTCAATTATAACGAGTCCATGATCGTTTAGAGGTTTATCCACTAAAAGATTGCTTGTAAAAAAATTATCCATCGTTACATTAGGTTTGGTTCCCCAAATCGGTTGACATTATCTTAGTATTACGGAAATATTAGACGTATCCTGCTCAGACAGACCTGTTGGCTGTTTTCCAACATATACCTCAATTTTTGTCATATAAAACATTTTAGCATCAACAATGGACTCTATCTTCCAGTCATACCTATTTGGTTTGGATCCGCACCGACCTCTACATGCTCATAGCTTCCCATCAACTGCGGCGTACTGTGAAATAGTATCTGTCTACCATCCCCGAATGGCCGACAGTTATCAACCCATTGATTCTCTGGTCTTAAGGTAGTATCGTCGAAATATAAGTTTTGGAGTAACAGTTTAAAGTTTTCCATAGACATCTAACCGAACAATGTATGTACTCATATCGTCTGAAGAGGTACGAAGCATTTTTATCATTTACCTGTTTTTACGACAAATATAGAGTAATCAAAATAAGGCTTTCATCTATATCTTTTAGCCTTGCTGTCTATGGCCAAACTCCATATTTCCATTGTTGTTTTTTATGCCTAGCTTCACTTTTTATTTCTGGCAATTGGGTTTTAAATTGTCTGCACGAGTTCGCACATTATTACGTTCATTTAAATGTTTTTTTTTCATTATGTACCATCATGTTCAAGTAAACATGGTTCAGAAGTCGTTCTCCTAACTGCTAAAACAGAAACCGCGTCATCGTTGGACATATCTTTTTCCGAATCACCATTCTCATTTTAAACTTCTAAGTGGTCGTCATCTAAGCTACAAGCATTATCCTCTGCTACATCAGATGAAAGGTCAAAAAGTCGTCTAAATCTCTCATTTTTAGCGTTATAACTGCATGTGGCCATTTTCTGAAAGAAAAGTATGAATTGAAACAACAAAGAAATTTCGGCATAATTATTACCTACAAAAAAGTAAAAGTAAACAAAGACTTTGCATTTTATCAATAAAACTAATTAATATTAGACTGTTATTCATAAACATTTAATAACACCAACAGTAACATTAGTGTTTGAGACAAAACTTGCCGATAATTGCACAAGCACCTGACACTGAACAACACTAAAACCAGACACTTGAATCAGGCAGCTGCTGACAACGGCCAATACACAATACACATAATAAAAGATTCGGATATAATCGTAAAAACTTTACGATCTGTGAAATTCACTGAGGTGGTTCATCTCACAGATCGAATGTTAGTCACGGTCAAGGTTAACACCAAAATGGTAATTAATTATTACAACTAATCGCTGTGTCAAATTTATAACAGAAGCATGAGGAAAATTTTACGAAGACGACTAAAAAGTACATTTTTATAACTTAATTAATAAATAAATAATAATTTGATTGTTGAAATTAAACATTAGATAATAAAAAAGATTGAATAAAAATAATAATCTAAAACTTTGTGAACTCCTCACGTAGACACCACATGAACACTTAATTCCCTGATAAAAATACGAGATTTTATCTGAACAACAAATTAACTCGCCGCGGTATCATTAACAGCCTTGACTTCATTTAAGCAATAATAGTAGAAAAAGCATTGACATCAATAATAATAACTATTAACACGATCTAGTCAGAGTGTCAGAGTCAGTATCAATCACATCCACGGTTAAGCATGTCTTGCACACAAATAAAACAGTTAGAAGCATTATTAGGGAAACAACTAGTTAAAAAAACTATTAAAAATGTGATTATTAACAACCTGACAGCTCCAGGTGAAAACTTTGGTAGTATAATGTACAAATTGGATATTGTGTTGAATAATAATGATAACGGTACCGAAGAGATACTCCACGCAGTTGCAAAAACCCTTCCAGCAGCTGAACTATGGAGGAAAATATTTAATATTCAAGTAACTTACACAAATGAAATGGCTTTTTATCAAATAGTTCTGCCTACTTTTCAGGAATTCCAGCGTAGTTTAGGAATTGATAACGTTATTAATTGTTTTGCTGAATGTTTAGCAGTAAGAAAAAACCTATTGGATAATAATAGTGACGTTATTGATGATGATGCTGTTATAGTTCTTGAGAATTTAATATCTAAAGGTAAGTTATCTTTGATCTGTTATATTTAACGAATATAGCAAACTCGGAGTTTCTTTTATTAAGGTTTTTGTTTTTAATTATTGCTTTAATGATTGATGCAAAGTAAACAATTTAAAAGTAAATAACTTTTAACTAAAATATTTACATGGTACATTGTATTATTACTATCGCACTTAACTTTTTAGTCGCGTCTGATGTTAGATGATTCAAAATAAATACCTATTTTACAGCGAAAATATGAAATTTACTTTGCTTACTTTTACTTTAAGTAAGTATAAATTATTTTTTTTAATTTAGGGTTATCTACATGTTTCCGTAATGTGCTAACCAATTCTTGTATGCTTAAAGGTGTCGAGTACTATATCTGATGTTTTAGAGTCACTAGTAAATTCCTCTTATACAAGCATATTAAATATTTTATTTACAATGGATTAAAACAAAATTAATTCTAATATAAATTATATTTTACGTTTATTTTTGAGGTTTAAAAAATAGTATTTTAAAATGAAGGTTATGTAAGCCGTGGGCGTGGCATGGGCGTGGATGTTTATTAAGTGACGGCTTGGTTATACCGATTTGACAAGTGTCTTCTTAAGTCTGTTTTAGACTATAACATAGAATGATATAAGAAAATGGTATACTAAGTTTTGTCATAATGTAAAACAGAAAACAAAATTTGTTAACAAAAAATGTTATAGAAATTAGAACATGTCCTATTTTGATACCAATTATTAGTACACACACATGTGCAATTACAATTTTGTATCCTGTTTGATAATATCTTCTCGCTTCTCGAATCAGTCCAAGAAGTTCATTCAATTGTGGCTTACGCATTCTTAAAAATTGTGTAGATTTTTCAGAATCATTGTCTTTTAATTCAGTTTACAACATACTTAAAACACCACGACCTTACTGTCTTTTTTGAAGCCAAGCTCTGGACCACATATTTCGTTGGTGTTTTTTCCTGCTTGTCTAATTAAAAGAAGTGTTGTAATGGATGCAGCAGATAATAGGAGATTTTTCTTATCTATCATAAATGTGTATATATATATATATATATATATATATATATATATATATATATATATATATCATCATCACAGTCATTAACATCTTAGTAGATGTGTTGTGGTTCATAAATGGGCTTCAGCAGCTCGGACAGTTTGATTGATAATATTTCTCCACTGGTCGCGGTCATCAGTTATATATATTGCCTCAGTATACTGTTTATTGAGAAGCTTTTTAGTAATGTCCGCCCATCGCTGTGGAGATCTTCCGCGTTGGCGTTGAGTCTGAGGCCTTCCTTGGACCACCAACCGCTCCATTTTGTGATCACTTCGATGGATATGGCCAAAGAACTTTAAAATTCTAGAGTAAACGGTACTGGAGAGACGCTGATCCGGTTTAATTTCATCCAGAACCGAGATACATGTACGGCGAGCCGTCCATGGAATTCGAAGCAGGCGTCTCCATGTCCACATTTCAAAGGCGTCTATACGTCGTCGATCTGATTCTTTGACTGTCCATGTCTCGCATGCATAGTAAAATATGGAAAAGACCAGAGTTGAAACAAGTCTCTTTTTGTTTGTCATAGTAATGTGACGATCACGCCAGACCCCGTTTAGTTCACTCATTGCTGCTCTTGCTAGTTGAATGCTTCTTCTAATTTCGGAATTTCTAATATATATATATATATATATATATATATATATTATATATATATATATATATGTATAAGGCAAACGCAAGCACTTTGTTAAAGCAAAAGTAAAAGGAGGGTAAAAAATCTAACTAGGTATTTACGTGGGTAAACAACTAGGTTAAATGTTGAAGAAAATGAGTTTACGTTACAATAACAAAAAGAAGAATAAGAACATTGAGGTTAACAGTACATGTACACCAACATAATGATTTTAAAAAAGGACTGTTTTAGCATGTAATGCGCAGAATCACATAACATATTTTGATACCAAAATGTGACAATGTAATACACAAAACTTTTTGTACTTACTAATATTGTACACAATCATTTCACGTAAGTTTTTGTTATACCATTTTCTTATATCATTTTATGTTATAGTCTAAAACAGACTTTAGCCTCAATCTTGCAGGTAAAAAGCCATGTTTTTAAATTAAAAATTCTGAGGTTGGTAATTACACCCTCGGGTTGATATTTAATTCTGATTTTAAGGTTTATGTACTATGTATTTTTATAAAGTGTTTATGGTCCATGAGTGTCTGGTCATGTTTTTTCACAATAATATACTCACATCTCAGCTGCTTCCGTTTTTTGCACATAACTTCGTACAAGATCTACGATTCAACACCATAAAAAAGGACGGGGAAGACGTAGCATCGTAGCATTTCTACTTTTGTATCAAGAGAGAGGTTGTGACTTTTGAAGAAGACCCCCATCCGATTGAAGATGAATCTAGTTTTTTCGATGCGTGCTCTAATCTCCTGTTTGTTGGTCCATTCTTAATTTATTATGGTGCCGAAGTAGTTGTAGTGCGTCACTCTTTCTACAGGAGATTGGTTGACTTAGAGTTGACCTTCTGTTATCCTTTTCTTGCTAATTATCATAAGCTTTGTCTTCTTAACGTTTATATTGAGTACATATTGTTGACTGTGATACGTGATTTTGTTTATAAGAACTTGTAGGTCTTCTAAATTATCCGCAAATACTATGGTGTCATCTGCATATCTGATATTGTTTAACCGGTAGCCATTTAGTAGATTACCTTTTTCAGTTTCATACAAAGCTTCGATAAATATTCTTTGACAGTACATATTGAAGATTAGAGGAGACAAAATACAGCCTTGCCTCACTCCACGCATGATTTTCACATAGTCAGTGTGTTCACCTTCAACTCTGGGATTTTCTGTCCGATTCCAGTAAAGATTTCTAATTATTTTCAGATCTTGGTTGAACTATGTTACTGCGGAATAAACTTCCTGCTGTAATATTATTGGTCGATCATTTACCTCTTCTTCTAGCTCAAAGGTGTTATCTAATTGGTCTTCAAATAGTTTTTCTAGATATTATTTCCACGTTCTTATTTTACTCTGTTTGTCCAAGATGATGTTTCCGTCAGAATCGGTTATATTTCCTTTCTGCTTTCGTTCCAATCCTTGAAAAATGTAGTTGAAAATGTAGTTGATTAAACTTTATAATGTAGTTGACAATAGGTGTTGTTTGTTTTTATGCATACTGTAAACAGCTGCATTATGGCTAATATATTCAGTATGTTTTTATTGTCAATATATCATCATCGTTATTTGTAACGTTTTGAACATCACATATTTTGCTTCAAATAATTATTTTATTCTAATTTCTTTTAATATTTATTCGTTTGTTAACTTTTGTTTGGTTTACTATTTGTATTCTTAAAATAGTTGGTACTTAACTTTTCTATTAAATAAATATTCTGTTTAATCATTATTTCTTAATTTGAATATTCATTTATTTCGGTTATATTTTAAGTTATTCGTTTATACCGCCGTATTCACACTGCGTATCTAAGATCTGTGGTGACATTTTATTGTTAAACAATTGATATGCAGTGATATACGTAATAGCTCTGTTATACATTGGTTGCTTTATTGGTAAAAGACCCATTGGTGAGAGTGATAGTAATACCAAAACTGACTAGCATGTTAGTAGGATTGTACTCTATTTCTTCTAGTTTTTACAGAAAATGCTATAAACTCATTTTAAATATTGTTGTGTAATACGTTAATTGTTTTACTATATCTAGGAGAAACTTTGACAGTTTGCTGCAAAGAGAAACCATTCTGCTTCAAACTTCTTTTACTAATATTTTTTTTTTCATAAGCAATGAGCACAGAGTTTAATGCAAAGATGTATTAATAGTCGTAAAAGAAGCAGACTTCGAAAAGAGCAAAATTAAAGAAGCAGTTCTCATCTTAATGAAGAAAAATGTATAGCAAATCCATGAACAGAATTAAGTAGGCTGTGCGTAGTTGTAATCTAGTTTTAGTTCATCATCATCATCATTATCTTGTATGCGTCTACTGGTAGACATAGGTCTCACTCGTCTCTCTTCATATGTTTTTCTTTTGCGCGGCTTGCATTTAGTTACTGTTAACACAGTTCAGGTCATCAAATAATCTGATCGATGTGCGTCCTCTACACAATATTGTTTCTTGTCTTGATATCTACTAGACAAAACGTTTTGTCCATCGGTTGTCTGATAATCTGGCGACGCGTCTTGCCCAATTCTAGGTTAATGACGCGATTTTTTTGATAGCGTCTGTTATTTTTGTTCCACGACGTATTTGTTCGTTTGAGATTCGGTATCTAAGAGCAACATCCAACATCTGGTGCACGATAGTTCTCTGAGTCACGCGAATCCTATTTACTAACTTTATGTGTGTTAATATTTTCGCTCTATAGGTGAGTACAGATAACACACATTGGTCAAAGATTTTCCTTTTGAGGCGTATGGACAGGTCCAATTTAAAAACATAATTTAAGTTACCAAACGCTGCCCAGGCTAATCCTATGCGACATGGGAGCTCCCGTGTCTGGCTATCTCTTCCCAACCGAATTTCATGTTTTAAGTGCTTATACGATATAGTCTGGACAATATCTCTTCCATTAATAACAATATTTTGATGAAGCATTAGATTAGTCATTATTTACATCTTGTTCATATCAATATTTAGTCTGACCTTCAATAAATCTTGATATAATTTTTTTAACATTATTATTGTATCATTCATACTATCGGCTATAAGGACGATGTCAACTGTGAATCATAAATGACTGAACTTCTCTCTATGTATTTCGATATCATGCCCGTTAAGATCTGCCTTCTTAAAAGTATGTTCTTGAAGCATCGTGAATAGCTTTGGAGAGATGGTGTTTTTTTGCCCTACTCACAACTGTATATGGAATTTATTTGCTTCTTGTTTAGAGAGTCTTATACTAGGTGTGACATTTTGGTGGATATATTTGATCATTTTAGTACAGGGAT